CTCAGTTAGAAAAGTCATTCCAGAAATCAAGTCAGCTATCCATGGCAGGGTCGCGGGGCAAACCCCTTCCCTTCTCTATGGAGGAAAATTCTATATACTTTTTGAAGAGTCAACAGCAACTCAACTTCAGAGCTCCACCATCAAAAGAAGGAGCCGTTTCAGCTTCGGGGGAGGACCGATGGGTTTTCTCGGGGGACTAAGGGCCAGGCTGCGAAAACTTCGGTTTTGATTTTAGGAGAGGGAGGGGGGACCCTTTCTATGTGTTAATATTCTTGGAGAACTTTCAAAATAAAGAGGCGATCTAGCCTTTTTGTTACCTAAAAGCACAATAATTAGAATTTTCTACTAAATGGGGAGAGCAGTGCCTACAGTGGTTATTTTACTGAGTTCAGGCCAAGTCGTGTGATTAGAGTTGCTGGTCTACCGTGAAGCACTTCGGAAACATATATGTGCCTGTGTGTGTATGCGTGTGCTTGTATGTGTGTGCACACATACGTATGTGTGGGTACGAGCATACATACATACTCATGGAGGCCTGGGAAGGACATCAGGTGGCCTGTTTTAGCCCTCTCCACCGTGTTCCCACAGGACAGGGTCTCTCACTGAATCTGGCACTGTCTGGGAGCCGGCAAGCCCTGTGAGGCCCCTGTCTTTGCCTCTCTCCCACACTCTAGTGGGTGACCACCTCAGCTTTCTTTTCTTAAAAGATTTATTTATTTTGTTTATGTGCATGAATGTTTGCCTGCATATGTGTATGAGCACCACATGCATGTCTGGTGCCTGCAGAGGCCAGAAGAGAGCATCAGATGCCTGAAACTGGAGTTACAGAGGGTTGTGAGCTGTCATGTGTGTGCCAGGAGCTGAACCCAGGTCCTCCGTAAGAGCAGCAAGTACTCTTAACACTGAGTCATCTTTCCAGCCCCTTCACTCAGCTTTAAGTGTGGGCTCTGGCTCATGTTGACAGAGCAAGCACTCATACCCGCTGAATCTCTCTCTAAAAAAGCATGATAATCTTTAATACAAAACTTTAAAGCCAACAGACATCCTTTTACAGAGCCCAGAATGGGGTTTCTGAGAGGAGGCAGATCCCTCTGCAGGCTTTGGGAGACAACCGTTTTTAGAACCCAGCCTCCTTCTACAAAATGACTATCCTGCCGTGTCCAAGTAGGAGCTCTCGCGAGAACACCACACGGCTGTTTCTACGGCAATGAACAAGGCACACCTCGAAGTAAATGTTTTCCTACAGATGGGCCTGGAGAGTCAGAGGTCCTCTCCACACAGCAGTGACGTAACATCAGTCTCATGCGTGTGACTTGGCATGCCATCTAGCCTTTCTGTGCTTGGGCGCTCTCTGCTCCCTTGCTGTCTTGGGGCTAGGAGGACTAAATGAGTCAGTATGTTCAGAAAGAGAGCCTAGGATGGGGTACCCTTTGTGTACTGGATGAATATTTGCGACAGTATTTACTTTCACATAAAAGTTGCACACATCCTGACAGAAGAAAACATTTAAAGGCCACAGAGAAGAGATAAGAAACTCCCTTCAGGGTTGGAGAGATGACTCAGTGGTTAAAAGCATGGCGGCCTGCTTTTCTAAATGTCCTGAGTTCAATTCCCAGCAACCATCTGTAATGAGATCTGGTGTTCTTGTCTGGCCTGCAGGCATGCAGGCAGGCAGAATACTATATACACAATAAATAAATAAATCTTTAAAAACAGAAAAAGAAACCCCCTTCAGGTTTGTGCCCAGCTGTTGGGGGACATAGCATGCAAAGATCTGCAGGGCTCAGAGTGTTCAGTAGTCAGAGCATCTGGGAAGAATTACAGTTCCTAGTTCTGGGCATCTGTGCCCAGGGCAGAGTTTCTTGACTTTGGGCCAGACTCTGGTTTGTCACTGTCACTGAGCCAGTGGCTTGGTGGATGTGTGGTCACACCACAGTGCCCCTAAGTGCAGCAGCGCCCTGTGGGCTTTATGGCTTGTGTGAGAATGTCTTGCAAAATTCTGATATGATGGCTTTCAGCCCTACTTTGTGGCTTATTCCTCCCTTAGCCTGTGTTATTTCCTAAGTGACTTGGAAAACTTTGAAGAAACTCTCTCTCAGATCGTCTCACTTCACCTGCTCCCCCTTTATCTTTCTAAGGTTGGTCACAGAAGGTCAACCCTCAAATCGTTTGACCTGGACTAGAGATGGAGCTCAGTTGGCAGAGTGCTTGCCCACACAGCAAATGCTGCAATCCCAGCACTCGGGAGCTAGAGAAAGGAGATCACAAGTTCAAAACCATCCTAGTCACAAAGTTTGAGAACCGGCCCGTGAGACCCAATTTCACAAAAAGAAATCAAAGCAGCTTGTCCTGTGAATTGCACGTGGTCATCAACTCAAAGCGTTTTAACCATTACCCTCTCTTTCCCTTGCTGAAAGGTTAGCCATGGGGGGCAGGGAGGAGGTTCCCCGTTAGTCATTCATGGTCGACATGATGTCCTTACTTCCTACTCCCCATCACACGCCATCCTTGCCACACTGCCCATCTCTGTGACTGTCTTAGCACATGACTCTGAAACTGTCAGTTCAGGCGCACGCACACACTGTGGACAGCCTGGTGCAGCCCGTCCTTCTGATGCCTGCCGAGGAAGCAGCTTCTGTTCCGCTTAAGTGTGGACCCACTAATGCTGAGGCCGCAGAATGCTTGGTCCATGCCCCGTGTCTGGGGCGATGCCGCCCTTCTGCTCTCACCCAGCCATTAATCTCACCAGTCATTAATCTAGGTCTCGATGTGGCACTCGGGGTTGACTCTCGTGGTAAAATGCCGGTGCTGTAGTCTCTTCAGGAAGGCATACGTAATTTCCCTGTCAGTGTGGTTTTAATGTTCTCTTTCAGTGGGCCATGAGATGCTAAGGATAAATGATTACGAGCCCCCCTCGAAATTTGTGGAGTTGACCCATGCATGAAAATGTGCCGTTTAACCTTTAATCATCTTAGCCGAGGAATAAAGTCTATTTTTGTTGCTTATGAGTGATGGATAAAACCAAATTGACTGTGAGGGAGTGGGTTTCGGGGTGGGGGGGGCAACCCTCCCTCTCTCAAAAAAAAAAAAAAACTACCCTTTCCCATATGACTCGGGAGATCCATTAGCAATCAGTTAAGAAAGGGAACACGCTGGGTTAGCACCTGAAGGAAGAGAGGAAGCAAAGATGGAGAGACACGTGGTAGTCACACTGAGCACTGGGACATGGCCTGAGACACACGGCTGGCCACCCCTGGATCTGCATGATGTAAAATCTGAGGATGAAGACATCACAGGTCCTTCCTATGCCTCGCAGAGGCTTGAGGAGCTGATCCGTGCTCCCAGTGGTAAATGATGTCATCTTTGGAGACCTCCAGCTTGTCTGGGCTCTCCAGGGCTGTGTCTTTAGTCCTCTTATCAGTGGGTGCTCTGCCCTCCTCTAATGAGAAGGAAGAGGAGCTCAGAGAGGCTGGTCACTGGCCCGTGCCCAGTATCTCCTGGCCTCACTGGGAGAGCTGGGATTTGAGCCTAGAGACGGTTTGGACTACAGGGCTTGTGCTTCCCATAACCACCATGCTTTTAAATTGAGTTTTGGCATGATTCAAACTGGTGAATTTAAAAACCAGATAGTTGGATTTTAAAGAAAGCATTCTTTGTCTCACTGACTCATCAGAGGGCTTTTGGAAAATGCCCTTAATCTTGGTTTCCAGTCTATGAAAGAATGAGTCTGGGATGGGGATAAAGTTCAGCTGGCAGAGTGCTGGCCCAGCATACAAGAAGGCCTGACGTCCGTTCCCAACACCACACAAACTGAGTGTGATTCCCCAAGCCTCAACATTTGAGAAGATGCAAGAGGGTCAGAAGGTCCAGGCCATAGGCCTGTCTGTGCTTTGTAAGTACTTGTCTCAAGCAAAAACAAATCTGCCATTATACACACACATACACACACACACACACACACATGCAAATACACATACACACACATGCACACTTGAGCACACACACACACATGCACACACACACACACACACACACATGCACACCCACCCACGTGTATCTTGAAATTATCTAAAATTAGGAAATTAAGACGCTCACTCTGTATTTATAACAGCAAAATATTTTAAATATCCAGTAGGTCTGTCTCACTTCTTGTCCTCTTGGCTATGTTCAAGTGTACCTTCCCGCATGCGTGTGTGTATATATATATATATATACACACACACATCCCCATAGAACTGACGGTTCCTAAAAATTAAATTTTTAGGTGCCATGTAATATAAAGTGCTTCCATAAAGGCATAAATCAAATACATAATTTCCAGAATGTGCTTTATTTGTATTGTTTTCCTACTCCACCTCTTCTTTCTTCCTACCATCTTGCTATTCCCTCTGACCCGAGTTCCATTTCCTCCGGGCTCCTTCAGCATACCTCTTTCCTGACTGCCACTCTCCCCATCCCCAGGGTAAAGTACTGCTGGTTACACTGGGTCTGTCTGGTTCCTGGGGGCCCACTGTGTCAGAGTAATTGTTTGTAGGGCTCCACCATCCCCTGCAGGAGTAGTTTGCTCTGCTCTGGCTCAGACTCCAGATATTTCAATCATCTTGAACACATAGGAGGTTATCTTCCAGACCCTTTCCTGGGTAGCTGGTTGATTTTGAACTATGAACCCTAATTTGTACAGGAAACTCAGTTCTCTAACAAGAACCAACACTATCTCTCAGGCCTAAGGGATCCTGGTCCGTGAAGCCCTCACTAATACCAGACCAGCTGTATCCTTGGGTTCAACTCACAGGTCACTAGGGTCTGCTCTCTTTCTGGTACCCAAACTCCATTTCCTGCCCACCCACTCTGCTGTGTATTAAGAAACAACTTATGCTGACTCATCGTTTCCACGTTTGCGGTAGAGACGCTAAACGTACAGCCGCAGACTCTGTATTGTCGTTCTGCTGTCTTGAAATGACAGGAATCGCCATCCTCGTAACTGCCGTCTGTTGTTCTAGAATGCATACACCGCAGCTGTCATTAATGGGACGGATTTCTGCACATCAGCGAAAGATGCAGACAAAATCATGTCTAAGAACTCAAGTCATCTCACGTCTGTTAACTGCTCTGGAAACTTCGTCATCTTCCTGGGAAAGGTGAGATGTCTTGATTAAATAACAGAGCCTGAAATTCAACAAATTAAATAATGTGGGGGCTGATTTGAGAGGGGACTCGTGCTTCTGGCTCTGGAGCAGCTGCCATGCCTTGTTCCCCAATCCTATGAGGCTGTCTGTTCTGCAGCTTCCAGGGTCCACAGTTACTATCTGTAATTTTCATCTTCTGGGCCAATTCTGCATAACTTAGTTTGTTTGATCCCACTTCCACTTAAGGACCTATCTGTCTGTCTGTCTGTCTATCCATCATCTATCCATCCATCCATTTATCCATCCATCCATTTATCCATCCATCCATCCATCCATCCATCATATCTATCTATCTATCTATCTATCTATCTATCTATCTATCTATCTATCTATCTATCTATCTATC